GGGGGGGGGGGGCCTGTTCCTTGGTTCTCATGGGGCACCCTCTTCCCATAAGATGTAACACGAAGAACTTACATAGTCACGTCATTTCAGACGTTCTACATCAATTATCTTCTGTGGTGGGAATTTATGATATAAATGCTCATGCTAAAGGCTCTGACAAGTCCTGCAGTAAAGGAATGTATTTAATGTTTAACTCTGGCATTTGCCAACTAAACTGTTTACCCAGGCAGATCTCATGGCTCTCAGGTTCAGTGGGGTCATTTTGGGAAACTGCTTTGTCTGAAATACCTCCTTCCCTTGATCTTATCTTGACACACCTGCTCAAGTTCTCACTAATGGGAACAAAGGAAATATTTCAGGAAAGAAAACACTTCTTCTAAGTGTTGGATTGCTTACTGGTCACTTGGAAGCTCCTTGGGTCTTACCGTGTGAGGCTTCCCTCCGCGATGTGGCCCAGGAGCAGTGGAGGTGATTTCCGCCTCGGAGTTGAAGGACACTTTCTTTGCAGAGTTGGTCAGATGAGAGCCATGCTGCCAGCATCGTTATCAGCCAGCATAAACACACCTGTCCTGTGCCTGGTCAGGTATTTAAATAGGACACCCAGGAGGATGCTGATAAATGTCCTTGGTCATTGCTTCAATCTTAACTAGATTTTTTTTTTTTTCATTCTGCAGGTTTATATTTTTAGAGCTGACCGAAGATCAGGCACCTTAATTAAGATTTTTCAGGCATCAGGTAAAAAGGTGAGATTCTTGGTATAAGTGTCTTCTTGTTGTTTGAGAGATGTCATCGTGTGGGAATCAGATTTTACTCTCTGAAAAATTGGTTAAAAGGCCCTCTGTGTGCCCTAAGTTTATATGGTGGCTTTGTTGCCGGTTCTGTTACCTTCTCAGCATTGAGTGTAACCTGCGGATTCATGAGATTCATGCTTGTTGTTGGAGACATGTAGCAAGATGAGTTTGTACATGGCCAAGTTCAGCACAGAGTTTTGTTGTTGTTTTTAACTGATTTGGGAGAGAGAGACAGACAGAGAGAGATTGTCATAAAAATTGCTGCATGCTCTGTTTCTCTCGGCCTCTGTCTCTCGGCATCTGTCTGTCTGTCTGTGACACCTCCAGAGAGATGGCACAGTTGCGTACAGGTAGCAAGCAAACCTGGTTACTTTCCAAGGAGGCCCGAAGACACATGGTTCTCGCTCTCCCCACCTCACCAACGCGGCGCTGACCCGCCTCCTCGTGTCCTGAGCCCTCTGCCATCATTGCCATGGAGACTGTTGTCACACAAAGAAAAACCAGAGAAAATCACCCATTTTCTTTTAGAACCTTGAAATAGAAATAGCTTATAAGGCTGCCCTCAAATTCGTCTCGGGCAAAGTTCATTCCCCATGTCATCTTGTTAACGTCATCTTGTTATCTTCATCTTGTGTTTCTAATTCAGATTCCTGCACATTTTTAATCCTAATTTCTATTCATGCTGCACTGTAGTCTGGAAGTGAGCCAGTTGGAGAGTCCTTTGATAAATAAACATGGACTTATCAGTCATGCACTCCTTAGTGGGGTTTAGATCAGCAGGATTGCTTAGTGTGATTGGTGCCTCTCAGGGGACACGAATTTAGGCTGGGAGATGAGGTGGGTAGTTCGGAGGCTTGTCTTGGTGGAGGCCTTTCATGACCTCTGGGAAGAATACAAGACCTGAGACTTGGGAGGAAGGTGCCAGGAGACTGTCAGAAGGTGATTTTCCCTACCACTACCCTGAGAAAAGGGGGGGTGGGTGTCTGTTTCCTTTCTGGGTGGCCATGTGCCCCAGCCCCAGTACAGGTCCTGCTACCAGTCAGACCTGCTGTAGGAGCCTGGCACCATTACATGTTCTGATGCTGAATCCTAGTCCCAGTTCCAAAAATCCCACTCATTTTATGCAGTTTTAACAACCTTAATGCTTATACTCAGTATATAACTGTCACAATCTTTTCAGGAAAAAAAATGCAGCTCCAAACTCTGGTCCTGTGATGTTTTTCCCTGAGGACTGGGCTGCCTGTATTATTTTAACATTTCCAAACCTTAAAGCGGCAACACTGGAAAATGACTGTGAGCAATTCTGCGGAGGTTTCCCAAGCACCCCAAAGTAGAAAGAAATAACTGTATGTCATTAGCGATAAAGGGTCCCAGAGACTGAGTAGGGTGTGAATGCTGCGTGTCATGTTCTTCAGGGCTCTTCTTGCCCTTATTCGCACCGTCCCAGTCATTCCTTCACCTGCCGCTCCCTCTGGCCCTCTTCTACTGTCTTCGAGCTTTACCTCCATGGCCGTCTTTCTAATTTTGAAATAGACCATTATTTTCTTTATGCGCCTTGTTCTGCTTTTTGCCAGAAGATGTGAGAAACTCCTACCTCTCTGACTTCTCCCTTATTTCATAGGGAAAGGACGTGACCCCAGGCTCTGAAAGGATGCCTTTGGCCATACCCTTGTGTCTGGTGTCACACACACACGGAGGTTCTGGCTCTCTGGCCCACTTCTGCTTTCATGTGGCCAGAATTTGGTCAGATAGTCCTGCCTCCTGGCTTCACCATGAGAAACAAACAAACAAAATCCCCCCAGTTCTGGTCTTTATTGGTGGACAGCCTTCATCTGTAGGGACACATAAGAAGTCACGAGTATGTGTGCAGTTCAGATGTTAGGAGAGACACACATCCCTGCATTTCCAGGCTGACGGGAGATCTCTGATTAAGGATTGCTTATCCCAAAGCATGTTGTCATTCTGAAGTTTTGTTGAATTGACTGAGTATGTGAGGCATTAGTATGTCAAAACATAGATAGGAAATTTCACGTACAGGGAGTTCTGATTTAGCACCGATGAAGATGCCAAGTTAAATAGCCCATTAGAATGAAACGAATCGTTCCCTGGGGCTCAGACAGCAGCTTTGGGGCCTTGCCTGGGTCTCAGTCCTTTTACTGAAGTCCAGATAGGGAGATCAGCAAGGCCACTGAGTCGGTGACTGGCACCTGGTTTCCATGTCCCCTACCTCTTGTGACTCTGAACGTTCCAATGCCCTCCTCTCTTGGGAATGGGGGGTTGAGAGAGTGTGTGGGTTGAGTGCATGTGGCCTTGGCATTTGACTGGGAAAGGGCTTCTGAGTCCCCTTGTCTCAGGGTTGCTGCAGGAAGCGGTCTGGAGCACCCTCCACCTGTGTCATCCTCCCCGAGGTCAGCTGCCAACAAACTCCAACAGTGAAAGAAAATGCTTTCCCATGTCAATAAAACCAGAGCTCTTTTTTTCTTTCTTTCTTTTTTTTTAAAACATAGATTTTTAAAAGGATAGCCTTTTACAATAAAAATCAGAGCTTGCACACTGGCGCCTTTGAAAGGATACAGCCTACAAAAATTTTTGTTTGTCCTGTGCAGTATGTGTTTTTTTAGAAAAATATGAGTTAGTTGCTATCATTTCAAAAATAGGCCCTTCAAATAAAATTTTCCGTTTTTGGCTTCTCTTGAAAATGGGAAGTTTGGCCTTTCCTTGGTCAGCCTGCCTCATGGCAACTGTTGACTGCAGCTGGGTAGAAGCTGCTCCCATAGCTAGGTCTGTCGATACCAGTTTGCCCCAGTCTCCACCACTCCCTATTGTGTCTTAGACACTTAGCCAAGCATCACTTACCACCTGTAAACACACTTGCACTGTTATTTGTTTTCACCTGTTGTATCACCTGCCTGGATCCCATTTGTGTTTGGGTTTAAGACCCCCAATTTAAAATACTAGGTACTGGATGAAGCTGTGAATAAAGAAGAGCCAGTATAGCCTGGCTGTGTTCCCTCATCCACCACATAGTCTATGAGTTCTCCCTTTTCCTGTCACTTCAGCTCACGTGTTCCAAACCAACCGTTAGCTGTGACCAGGACTAGGAGAGGGTAACCTGTTTCCGCATGTCACATGTTTTCATACCTGCCTCGTATCATGAAATTTCATATTCCTCTTTGCTTGGCCTTGTCAAATGTCTGAATTACCAGGTACTTTTATTATGGTTGTAACCTGTATTTGCAACCTCAGTTTGTATTTTTAAAAACAGTGCCTCGTTCTCTCGGGATTGGTCCATTTGTTGTCCCCTTGGTAGGGCTCCAGGACGGGAGGCTTTGAGCCAGTTAGCGCGGGTCCCATGCAGACTGGGGGGCTCCGCGTCGCTACTGGCAGGCGCAGGGAAGTCGGGTATTTCCCCGTTCGCCTTGGCGTCTGGCTTAGGGGCAGCGCCACCGTCATGGCCTGCGAGGGGCCTGGGGCAGGTGTTTCTAGAGCCCGTGGGCGGAGGAGAGTGTGGGCCTCCTGTGTGAGGGCAGACACTGAACGCTTTGTTGCAACTCGACTTGGTTGCAGATGGGCTCTTACTTCGGCTCCTCCTTATGCGCAGTTGACCTGAACGCAGACGGCCTCTCCGACCTGCTGGTGGGGGCCCCCATGTTTTCTGAGATCAGGGACGAGGGGCAGGTCACCGTCTACATCAACAGAGGAAATGTGAGTACAGCTCTGGGCAACCTGTGGACAGGGTGGCGGGAGAGGGACATTTGTCCAGCGAGTAGTGACTGAGCACCTCTCTGGGCTGTGCATGGGCCCCGTTACCCAGAGGAGGAGAGAAGATGTGCTTCCTACCTTCAGAAAGCTCAGTGTCCCATTAGTAGAAAGTTACAGACAGTGTTACAACTGCCAACACATGGGGATTAAGAAAAATCTTAATGGCTGTGGTTTGAGTGCTGACCATGTACCGGGAACTGTTCCTCCCGCTTTCTGAGACGGGTTTTAGTGTAATGGGCACGTGGTATCATGGTCCCCATTTTCCAGGTGAAAAAATGGAGGCCCAGAGAGGTAAAGTAACCTGCCCCAAATCACACAGCTAAGAAGTGGTGGGGCTGGGATGTGAACCCGGGCAGGCTGGTTTCAGAGCTTCGTCCCTAGATCCTGCTGTCTTCCTGGGCGTCCCTACAGCAGGGCCACTTAGTTCAGCATGGGGGTTGGGTGGGGCCAGTGTAGGGCCAGTGGCCGTAATTGTGACGTCCCTTATTCTGCAGAATCACGAAAGGGGTGTGATAGGGTCAGAGAGATGCCTCTGTCCCCCATCAGCCGAGCGCAGGGTGGGTGG